AAGTCTGATGCAGAGCCTAGACAATACTCCATCACAAGCTGTGTAAATCATAATCAGAATTAAGAGTTAACTGTTCAACAACTTTGTGTTACAATAAGCAATGGTGCTCAAACTCCTTCAATCAAACACTTTTAAGTGACAGTTGACACTATGATGGAAGTTTAAATGTATTTTCACTTACGATTAAGTCAGACAAAAATAGGACATATTGATGAGTGATTAGAAGTCATTGTGGGAGAGTGAGTGGAGCACCCTAACTTATCTTCAGAATACAGCTTACCCAGGCAGTGTGCTCCCGAAGATAACATCCTTTATATTCTATACTGTTTGGATGTTGTATTTTCTGAAGAAATTTCACCTCCTTAATGATATCTTGCCATTTCTAACAAAACAATAGAAAGAAAGATGTTTATCACAAGAAAACATTTATTTTATTGTTATTAGTACAATTTCTAAAAGTACCTCCATTGGCTGCTTCCCACTATAGGACATCTTTTTGATAGCAACCACATCGTTTGTCCGCACATCACGTGCCTGTAACAAAATTAATTAATTTTCTTTTTATTGACTTTGATTAAGTCAATAAAAAACATTTGGAGTAATACAGATGTAATTTATCCGATTATAGTTTTGACTGGAAAATGTGTAACAACAAATGAAAAATTTAAAAGTGTATCTTTATGAATTAATGGGTTACTTACAAAGTATACGGCACCAAAGCTGCCATGGCCAATCTCACGCAGATCAGCAAAAAGCTTTTCTGGGTCCTCTTTAAAGAAGAGGTCTGCGATTTCGGGGTCCTTCAGACTCCCCGCCCGACTACTATTGGGCATAATTGGAAAATTGGGGGCAACGCCGCTGTCGCCAGGAACTATCTGGGTCTGCGACAGCGACTTAAATGCCCCCTCTGATGGCTCATCTGCAGGACAATGGTCTCATATGTTCAGATCTACAGCAGAAAAGCATACACTTAATTAGTATCAGTGACTTCACAACCCTTGGAGATGTGAGACAGGACAAACTTGAATTTTGGCAACAAAAAAGATTCAAATTTAAATGATACCAATCAAGAGGTAAACATAGCACAGGTCACACTCTGCTTTGTGCCTGCTCGACATTCAAAAACATTTCAGTGATGAGAAATACCTGTCCAACCAGTTGTTGATATCAAGAAATATTCATTTTTTTACTTTTTTAATTTGCTGTTGCTTCAATAGGAAAACAAATTTGCTTAGACATACTCATCAGAGCAGATTTGCTTCATTTTTCTTGTTTACAATAGTGCAGAAATGGAAGAATTTGAGGCCCTATTAACATCTACTACATTAATAGGGCCTCACGTTCAGAATATGTTATGATACCCAAATTACAAAGATAAAAAGCCAATATGAAATTATTTTAATGTTGACTTTAATACAAATTAATAATACTATTAATGTGTATTAGTCTAACAGAAACACAAAGCTCATTTAAAAAGATGTTGGATAGAAGCAGGAAAGAATTGCTTTGGAAAGTATACAGAGTCCATGTGCCTCAGATGATCAGTGGTAAATAGATGCAGAGCTGACGCTACAGTCACAAGACCTTTACCCAGCCGGAAAGAAACAGCCCCCAGTTTAAGTGGACATCTTTTGTCTCACCACCACAAGACTGAACAGCTCACACTATCTGACAGTGATGCAACCAGCGCTGAAATAAAAGTCTGTTACCATGTGGGACTGTGCCTCTTTATCATCATTGTTCTTTATGACATTGTTGCTTGTGAATAAGCCGTGTTGTCATATTTAATGATGGCATGTTTAGTTGTGGCTGTGGTGAACACACAAGTCAGTGATGATAACTGATACCTTCAAAAAACACCTTAACATTCCACCTAGCATACATGCACAAGAATGCAGAAGGACAGGACAACAAAGCTGGAGGGCTGGAATTCCCAATGTATGCACTCACAGTGAAGCATATCTGTACATTTCCTGTTCACAAATTATTCACAGATTGTAACAGGGCCTACATATAAAACCAGTAATGAAGTAATGTTTATGAAACCACTGTCCTGATATTCATTTGGGAACCTCCAACCAGCACTGGGAACATTTTAATAAAAGACAGTGTGCCCATGAGTCAAACACAGTAGCCAAGTTTCAGTTTTTCTTTGACACAGGAATTATATACTATATATTAGGAAACATATTCATAGTATATACTATATAGATGATGTGTCTGTAAGATTCAAACTGAACAGATTAATTGAGTAGATAGGAGTTACCCTTGTCAGCAATAAATCCAAGTATGGGAGCAATATATGTTTACAAAGCAGTATTTTTTATATTAAATTTGTAGAGCAATTATGATGATACTGAGCAGTAAAAACTTCAGGGAATCTACTTTTTTCCTTGACTATACTCTTGATAGATTGAAGACATTAGCCATAAAATAAAAGCAATTAACTGAGTGCTTTACACATGTTGATGTGTTATTAAGCCTTTATTAACAGTGACTTCAGTGTTATGTTAGCAAATAGCAACACACCAAAGTTAGCACGGCTAAGTTACGTGTCATGATTTTAAAATGTCTGTAGTTTAATGACACTATGTTCACGTACTCACTGAGTTTGTAAATAGATGATCTACAACTGGGTGTGTTTAATAACCACATGAAAAATCACTTTATAAACAAACTAATCTCCCTCCTGTTTGCTGCGTTAGCTTAGCCACCTCAAACTCACCCACTTCTGACAGGCCAGGCTTCTGCGCTGTGGACAATGTCGTGTAATTCACAACACTTGGAGATTATGGCAGTAATCCTCCTTTTTTATTCCCAATGTAGAGATGTGGATGTGCCAAAAACGTAGGGTCTCCGGGACTGTCAATCGACTTAAGCATAGATATTTCCTTGAATGTTACGGACTAAAATCCCCACCCTGAAGTAAGTGGGAGCGAGAGTTGTCGAGTCCCACTCCCAGGTTGATCCAAAGATGGCTGCCAAGCTCTCCGCCGCCTCCCTTAGTCAAAATACGATCGGAACCAGCTAGAGTCGTCTTAGCACGTCCAAAAGTCATACAAAATCCACACAAGTATCCGCTATTGTGTTAAAACATTTACTACGTAAGTCAGGACAAACAAAATACTTTGTTGTTGAGTTATGTTGAAACTCTGCGCTGCGGAACTGCCTGCGGCAAAATGCAATAGCAGTTCCTTCCTGACCACTGCAGTAAAAGCACAGAGGCAGCAAGGGCTCAGGACAATCGGTCCATCAGAGGCTCAATGGAACAACTCCCAAAATATAGGACTGAATAAAGATGAAAGGCCACCAGTGATGTGCTTATTATGTTATCTTACTTATGGCTCGTAGGCAGGTAGACTTTCCTGTGGAGAATTCTGTTTAAGAAGAAAAAGCCACCCACAAACTTGCTTGGATAGAGTAATAAATTGTTTTGAATGCATAAATAAAACTAGCATGTGATTGCTACTGTCGGCCCTTTATGTTGTATTATGATCTCAAAACTCCTGCAACGCTTGTTCAATTCACTACTTTTATTATGAAAAGTCCCGGAAAAATTTAAAGACACGCCTCTGCGATGACGTCGAGACTTTACGGAAGTTTCCGTGGCTTTCCCACATGGCAAAAAAATGGCTGCAAACGCAGAAAAACAACAGGGCCACAGACCCGGGATTTATAAGCAGAAAAATAAAGGTCACAAACATGGCAAGCATCGGACGAAAGGTGAACTTGAAAGAGAAAATAAAGGTAGGTTTTTCTGTCAGATTGTTGTTAGCCATGAAGCTGTGGTCTTTATGAAGAATGCAGCGGTGGAACAACTCACGTGTTCGATGTCTTAAAATAACAATCAAGGTTGTCTTTTGGCCTGGAAACATTACATTAAGATAATACACTATGCTGTGTGTATCAGGTGATGCCATTTGTATTACTTTTTTATTATTTACTTCTACACGGTGTAAAGACGTCTTTTACACCAACATGAATCCATGTTATTTGTTACCACAAATTAATGCATAATATTGTCCTCAAAGATTCCGACGTCTTCAAGAATGTCCTGATTAGCCCATAACCAATAATCACTAACTAATCTAGACTGGTTTCTGTAATAGCTTAAACTGATACCTGACTCTTGAAACAAATAATACAGGGTTAGCTTATTTTTTATGGCTAAAGCCTAAAAATAGATAAGTAGATATTGCCAAACAAAGTATTTATTTATTATATTACTTTATTATTTGATATTATGTATCTTTATCTTCTCAGCATAGTACCGAAACAGCTCTTTTAAAAGTTTTTAATGACCTGCTTTTAACTGTTGACTCTTAAAAAAACAGAGATTGTGGTGTTTGGGCAAATTAATCCACTGCTTGGGCAGGACAGTGTGATTGGTCCTTTGTCCTCCTGTTGTCTTCCTGCAGTGAAGAATCTTGGAGTGATTGTGAACTCCATGTTCAAACTGGACAAGCATATTAGCGCTGTGATTAAGTCCAGCTTCTTTCAGTTAAGGCTCCTCGCTAAAGTAAAGCCCCTACCTCCCACGGGCAGAGTTCGAAAAAGTGATCCATGCTTTCGTGACATCACGCCTGGACTATTGTAATTCTTTATATGTAGGGTTAGACCAGGGCTCCCTGCAACGCATTCAACACGTCCAGAACGCTGCAGCTCGTCTGCTGACAAATACTAAAGAATGTGAACACATCACACCTCTTCTGTGTGACCTGCACTGGCTCCCTGTCTTATATCGGGTGCAATTTAAAATGTTATTAATTGTTTTCAAATGTTTGCACCCCATGGGTCCAGTCTACTTGAGGGAGTTACTGCAGCCCTATACTCTGCCCAGAGCCCTGAGATCAGCCGACCAGCTCCTGTTGGTTGTGCCCAAAACTCGGCTAAAGACAAGAGGTGACAGAGCTTTTTCTGTGGCAGCGCCCAGACTATGGAATTGCCTTCCTCTTGCTGTCAGATCCTCTCAGTCTGTAGCGCAGTTTAAGACGAGACTGAAAACTCACCTCTTCTCCCTGGCATTTAGTACGAGCTAGTCAGGCTATCTTGGTGTTTATTATTGTAGTTTTAACATGTTTTCTGTATATATGTATATGTAACTGTTTCTTCTGTGCTGTTGCTGTTGACTTGTATGTGAAGCACTTTGGTCAACTGAAGTTGTTTTAAATGTGCTATATAAATAAACTTGAATTGAATTGAATTGATCTTGCATAATTAAATTTTTTTGCATTATTTTATTTATTGACTTCAGTTAATCAATAGTTAGTTGTAGCCCTGTTGTCAGTGTATCTTCCTCTCACTCTCTAATGAGAAATGATGATTTAATATTTAATATTTTGTATGTTTAGGCAGAGTATCAGTGACTGTCCTCAGCAAAAAACAGAGGAGAGAGCAAAGAAAGATGGACAGGAGGCATAATGCAAACCAACTGCGTCGAAATAAAAAAGACATGGTAATTATAAATTAATAATTTAATAACTATAATCACATTGCTATTTGTGGTAAGTCTTCATATGTGTATTTCCAGGTATTGACAGAGAAAAGACGATTAGGCAGTAAGGATGGCCCTCCTCACTTGGTTGCCGTGGTGCCACTTCATGCCCGAGTCAGTGCTTGCGCTGTCACTACACTCCTACGTGGGGAAGGGGCAGGGGGCATTGTACAACAAGAACGGCTTATTAGTGGAGTCCCCGAAAGTTTTGGAATACTTTTGCCTCGATTTAAACAAAGATTTATTTTTATGAATCAAAATACTGGTATGGAATTACATTATGCTGAGTTAAAATTCAGTTTATAATTATTTTTCAAGTGAATGATTTGTTCTTTTTAGTACTTATTCTACCTTTTTTTTACTTTTTTGAACAGCTGACTTGCACTCTCTGCTGGATATTGCGAAGGTTGCAGACAGTCTTGTGTTTGTGTTGGACTCTACTGAAGGTTGGGACAGCTATGGGGACTACTGTCTTTCATGTCTCTTTGCTCAGGGCTTGCCCAGTCATGGTAAGACACGTTAAGGTAGTTTCCCTGCTATAAAAGTGAAAACAAAATAAAAAATAAAACAAGGGTTAAACCTGTATTTTCTGTCGTTTCATAGCACTGGTTTGCCTCGGACTGACAGATCTTCCCATGAAAAAGAGGGTGGAAGCCAAAAGAGCACTCTCAAAAATAACTGAGGCCCGTTTTCCTGATGCACGTCTATTCTCCCTCGACACAGAGCAGGAAGCAACACTGTTGCTAAGACACCTGGGCAGTCAACGGCAGAGAAAACTAGGATTTCGCTCCAGACGTTCTCACCTTTTAGGGCAGAGCATCACCTTTACTCCTAATTCTGACGGCAACACTGGTTTTGGGACTCTTTGTGTTTCTGGGTATGTTCGAGGCTGTCCTCTGTCGGTGGACAAACTAGTTCATATTAGTGGACATGGGGACTTTCAGCTCAGCCAAATTGATGCCCCCTCAGATCCACTTCCGCTGAACATTTCAGCTCCACGAGTTCCCAAACCTGGCAAAGGAGGAGATGTTGACATGATTGTAAGTTATTAATTTTACATAATTAAAATTTAAGTTGCTAAAACTTACTTGGGGGTTTAGACTGAAACTTAAACAGGCTGCTAAAAGGTTGATTAATGAATGTAGCAGTAAAATTAGATTAGAGGATTTGTGTGCATTATAATTGTTAATTTTGCCAGGATGGAGGTACGGAGGAGACCACTCGTGTGCTAATGAGAGCCAACCCATCTCGCAGAGAAAGTTTGCAGGCCGAGGCAGAGGTGGACCCTATGGATGGAGAACAAACATGGCCCACAGAGGCAGAGTTGCTCGAAGCTGAAGGTATCAGTTTTTTATGAATATATTCATTTATTTATTTGTTAAGCCATTCATAGTCTTCATTTCCTTGTGAAGCATTCTGCTTAATGGTGGTTGGCAATGTATTGTGCTGTATGATCAGAGGCCAGGAAGAACAAGCGTGTGATGAAAGTGCCCAAAGGAACATCAGATTACCAGGCTACATGGATTGTGGATGAAGGTGAAGAGAATGGGGAATTAGATGGAGACAGCAGTGATGAAGATGACGATGATGACGACATGATGGATGAAGCTATGGAGGGAGATGAGGATCTAAATTCACAGGTAACACTGTGATGATAGTAAACTTTTCATCTTTTGGACTGTTTTATGTTTTAAACCGGACTCTCATTGGTTAGATTGTTGCCATAGAAACAGTGATTGGTTCCTGTGAAGGTGATTAACAGCTGCTCAGCCTCAGTATCACAGTTTCCGGCACTAGCGTATACGTGACCTCCAGACGGTGCACTTCAGGTCTGAGAGGCTTTGTTTGTTTTCGCAGTGTCTGTCTCTGGCCTTCAATGCCAGGCTGCTGGCCACAACAATAGTGTTTGGAGCAGGAGTCCCAGGAGAAGCCTCCTGTCTTCCTGTTCAGTGAACACAACTTCCTGTCTGGACAGAGGGAGGGGTTGTCCATTTATTTATTTGCAACTCTGGTTGAAAAGACGTCTAGGAAACTCTTCTTATGCAAGAGACCATTGAGATTTGAATTATTTTTAATATGTGTTTGATGTTAAGTAGACCACGCAGGAATCCATATTTAATATCTTAGCTAGGAGGTAAGTGGTACTTCAACTGATAATTATTATTATTGCTGTAGCCAGGATGGTGGAAAGGTTGGGAATCAACCCCATGCAGAGTACCTTCCCCTCATGTGTCTGGCATGTGAAGTTTGTTAGAACACAGGTCTGTGTAGCAGCTTTTCTATGGGGACAATGCTCCTCATCCAGTGCACCTCCGCTACGTACATTTTACATGTCATTGTGTGAAGTCACATCACAGTAATATATTAACAAATAAAAATAAATATATAAAGGTATGTGTTTTATAATCTCAACACTTAAAATGAGTGTTTACTAATCAGGAACCTACTTCAAGTTGTGCCTCTGAGGAGGATGGAGAGGATGAAGAGGAAGAGGAAGAGGTATGTGCCTCAGAGCGAGCTGGGGCAGAGCAGCATTATGATGCAAACATGGATAAAGCTGCAGAAGAGGAGGGCCTTCAGCGTTACCGAGAGGCTCGAGCCAATGAGATGTTTCCTGATGAAGTGGACACGCCCCTAGATACACCCGCAAGGATCAGGTCATTCATTGTCACATTTATTTGAATAAACTAACA